CCTGGCCATGCCGGGCCCCTCTTTAATAGTTAGGATACTTAAATGGGATGAAACGTTACAATACGCCTGTTCAGTGAAAGTGGGTTTTCTCGGGGTAATCCCTCAGCTAACTAACTCTCGGGAATTGGAGAGGCATAGAATTTTTAGATCCCCGCCTCCAAGGAAAGGTCCTTTTTCTTTCTTTCATTATGCCCCTAAGTCTCCTTCTTTTATTCATTTAATTATTCATGTTTATTTAATTTATGTTTTATGTATATATATATACACATATATTTTTTCTTTCCTTTTCCGGAACTGTCTTTTCTTTTTTCCTTTTACGGAACTGGTGTATTGGTCTGAGATTACGGACCCTCCTGCATCTTCACTGCTTCTCCATCTCTCGGAGCTGCATCGCCACCTGCGGAGCAATCCACTTTCAATTAATCAACCAATCAGAGGTTAATCCATTCTTCTACGCCTAGCTGACATAAATTTCTCGTGTCTTTTTATTGAACCCTATAGGTAAATTTAAATCTAACGTGAGTGGAATGAAAAGAATCAGGGTTTCTGAGCATCCTCGGTTGCCATTTCCGTACCAGAAATGGCTTAAAACCGAAACAACTGCCAAGGGCTGACATAACGGGAAAATATAACTGCAACTGTCTTGAAAGTGATGGGTGCAAGGCCGAGAAAACTATTGTTCATTTGAGGCATCATGGGAAATGTTCTAAAATGCCTCCTTGCAGTTACATGAACTTTGTTTTTCAGGTCACTGACTTTTACTTAGTTGTCAGGGTTTAGAGAAATGAGAATGCTCATCATTTAGGAAGCTTTGCATCAGTGTCATTAAATAGTTTATGTTTGAATATTTCAGTACACTACCTTTATTTAAAATCATATTAACACAGTATACTTACTTGTAGCCTATAACTGATTCAGTTTATGATATAGAGTTTACAATATTTTCATTTTATCCTAAAAGCTCCCCCCGCCCCACAGTGGCTCAGCAGTACATCTAAAAGCTCACACTGCTAAGACCCGGGTTTCGATACCCCTGATAGACACAGCACAGATAACCCATTGTTAGCTTTGCACTTAACAGCAAACAAACAACAACAACAAAAAAGTATCCATTGTCTCAACGGTAAGTCTGAGGGCTCATAACGCTAAAACCCGGGTTTCGATACCCGTGATAGACACAGCACAGATAACCCATTGTTAGCTTTGCACTTAACAGCAAACAAACAACAACAACAACAAAAAAGTATCAATTGTCTCAACGGTAAGTGTGAGGGCTCATGACTCTAAAACCCGGGTTTCGATACCCCTGATGAGCACAGCACAGATAACCCATTGAGTAGCTTTGTGCTAAATTAATGATAATCGTAAAAAAAAAAAATCGCCGTAATGTTTGAAACTGTTGAAATTATAGTTTATCCCGAAACTGAGTAAAATTAATACATTTTCAGCGTAAATGCTAGAAAATTCGTTGAACTGGTATTATAACTATAAGGCGCTAATAAACGTAAAACTGGAACCTGACAGTCGTAAATCACTTTTGAATATATCGCAAAAACTGTGTTGCAATGTAGATGCTTTCGATGGATCAGCTCTAAACTTAAGGCTTATGACTCAAAAGTTCGGGGCTCAATTCCTACGGGGGGGCTCTAGCTCAGATATCCCAATGTACACTTAAAGGAAACAAACAGAATGTTTTGATTTAATTTCAAAATTATTTATTTTGTATGTTAATATCTTACAAACAATGCCCCCAGTGGCACAGCGGCATATCTGCGAACTTACAACGCTAGAAACCGGGTTTCGATACCCGTGGTGGGCAAAGCACACATAGCCCATTGTGTAGTTTTGTGCATAACTACAAATAGATAAACAAACTTACAAACAATGCCCCCCAGTGGCACAGCGGCATATCTGCGAACTTACAACGCTAGAAACCGGGTTTCGATATTCGTGGTGGGCAGAGCACACATAGCCCATTGTGTAACTTTGCGTTTAACAACAAACAAATAAATAATTGATATTTTAGTTTAACTTAGTATTTTTATTTGAATATTCTAACCTGAAATCTACAAAAGACATTATTATAGTTATTTAATTTTGACTTAATTTCAGAACACAATCAAGATGACGCTTCCTCCTTCTCAAAGACATTATAAAGCACAAAAACTGCCTCGCAACTGGCGCTTTGAATTCTGGGTAACGGCGTCTACCGCGGAAGGAGAAAGTGAGGCTACAAGAGTTTTATCACAAACTACTTCAGATTCAGGTTTGTTTTTGTGACTTTTCAATGCAGTCGAAAAAATTTCAAATCTCCTCCTTTTTGCTTTAATTAAAACGTGTTTTTAATATGCCAAATTGATTTTTTTTTGTAATCTAAAAAGATGTTTTACGCTTTTTCTCCATAAGTAGTTGTTTGTTAAACTTTAAATTTAGGCTTAATTTTTTAAGCTTTCTTGTATCAGTACCAGTTCACTTGCTTATTAACTGGAGTTATGATTTTTTTTTACATTCAATATCATTCGGCTTTGTTTCTGACAATTATATATATGTGTGTGTGTGTGTGTGTGTGTGTGTATGTATATATATATGTATGTATATGCTTATGCTCTGAATTTTCTTTCAAGTTATTACGTTTTGAAAGTTAATGTGTATGTTTAGCATGCATTTTTATGTTGTGATTTTATAAATGTTTTCCTTTCGACATTTTTTAAAAATAGTTTTGAGTTTCGACTGATTGAGGAGTGAACACTAAATAACTCAGAATTAAAATACACACACATTGGAAGCTTTTATTATTAGAGGGTAATTGACATACATGACATGGTCTGGTGGTTAGGGCACTCGACTCGTGCTATGAGGATCTTGGGTTTGAAGTGCTGCATCTATATGCTGCATCCACTTTTGTGAATTTTACTTTTCTTTTCCTAAACGTGTAATTGTGACGAAATAGTCACATATTATTTTACTTTTCTTCTTCCAAACGTGTAATTGTGACGGAATAGTCACATATTATTTTACTTTTCTTCTTCCAAACGTGTAATTGTGACGGAATAGTCACATGTTATTTACTTTTCTTTTCCTAAACGTGTAATTGTGACGGAATAGTCACATATTATATACTTTTCTTTTCCTAAACGTGTAATTGTGACGGAATGCTCACATATTATTCAGAAAACTAAAATGTTTGAGATTATTAGCGGTGAATAAATGATTGTACAGCCGAATCTCCAAATGTTGTTGTTATTATGTTTGTAAAATTTTAGATTATCAATTGTATGGTGAGCGCCACCTGGTAGAAGTTAAACAATTTTTGGTGTTAACGAAAGCTAAGGTATCTAAATTAATTCAACCAATTACTAACATCAATGTACAATCCTTTAAATAGTGGCCAAAATAAAAGATAAATTCAAGTCTTTAGAATTTTTTTGATACAAAATATTAATAAAACCGTTTTTCATATCTCGTTGTATAAAACTTTAGATATAATTTCAAAATTAAAGGAGAGACCTTTTTGTCATTTTGCTTATTGTATAAGATCAAGTCAATGTATAAACATATACATCTGAAAGAAGTGTAAACTAAACTCGATCTTAATCCCCGTGGTTTATTAAACGCAATAAATGATGCACGGTGAGACTTCCAAATAAACATGTCAGAAACGCGTTTAAAGAGTAAAAATAACAACCAATAAAAAAACAACAATCGTAATCCGATTGCTTTTTACACAGTTATTATCAACAAACTGAAAAATGGCATATACCTCCATTATATAAAAAAAAAGTTTCAAAGTAATCCAGATCTGGATCCCGACCACATTTGGAGGGGACTGTCCTATGGGGACATCCTATCTCCTGTAAATAATTCACATAAATCGGTTTAGTATTTTTCGAGATACGCGCGCGTACATACAAACATGTACATACGGACGCAAGTGCAATACCCTCGCCCCCTGTCCCACGGTGGGTCAGCGGTAAGTCTACGGAGTTAGCACGCTAAAATCAGGGGTTCGCTTCCCCTCGGTAGACGCAGCAGATAGCTCGACGTCGCTTTGCTATTAAAACACACATCCTCGCCCCCATAAGGAGGTGGGGGAAGAAGGTAATAAGCATAAAGTCAGTTAAGCCTACTTTCACTCGCAAATGCACTATTACTTCCCCCAGTTGAAAGTTTTTTCGCTATATTCAGTTATTCTGACTTGTCTAAGTGAAGTAAAATAAAATCACACGTTCACTGTCTTGTGTCCCCCAGTGCCACAGTGGTATGTCTGCGGACTTACAACACTAGAAACCCGTGGTGGGCAGAGCACAGATAGCCCATTGTGCTTAATTACAAACAAACAAACACTGTCTTGTTTGAATGGTAAAGAAGTTCCAAAGTGATTTGGTTTTATTTAAACACGTATATTAGCACTCTAAAAAAACCCAATAATTATTAAAACACGTGTATTAGCACTCTAAAAAACCCAATAATTATTAAAACACGTGTATTAGCACTCTAAAAAAACCCAATAATTATTAAAACACGTGTATTAGTACTCTAAAAACCCAATAATTATTAAAACACGTATATTAGCACTCTAAAAAAAACCCAATAATTATTAAAACAGCTATTGTGATTTATTGCAGTTCCTGCCCGTATTGCTTCGTTTTCTGAACATGTCTTAGTTACCAGAGGATCGAGCTTAGTGCTTCCTTGTCAAGCAGTCGGAATACCAGCTCCTAAGAAGAAATGGAGTTTCAGGTGCTCTCAGACAATACCAAATAATGTCATTATTATACAGCTTTGTACACCTTAATCTAGCTGATAATTAGTGAACATATAATAAGAATTTTAATTAAATTTCTATAGCTTTTTTTTATCCAACTTCGAACCCGTAAATTGGAATTTTAAGAAAAATATGTTACACGTCCACTTGTTAGCTTGTTTGTAAAAAAATTAAACATAATATATGTTTTTCGAGCCACAAAGAAAGTAAAATCTTAGGTAATTCTCATTTAACGATATCATGGCCAAAGAGCAAGAATATCTCATTTTAAATGATCTAAGAGAACAAGGTTATCTTATTGTAATTTATTCCAGAAACAATGTTATCTTATTACAATTTATTCCAGAAACAATGTTATCTCATTGCAATTTATTCCAGAAACAATGTTATCTTATTGCAATTTATTCCAGAAACAATGTTATTTTATTACAAAGTAATTATAAACAATGTGATCGAACTTACACGAGTTACGGGTCTAGGCTATCTCCCTCTCTAAACTAATTATACAGAAAAAAAAGTTATCCCATTTCGGTGGAATTAAAAACAAAGTTATCGCTTTAAGAAAGTATCCAAGAGAAATCTTCACGTAAAGTGTAATTTACATAATTTTCCAGGATATCAGCTGTCTAACTGAAGCCTTCGACGAGCAAGATGTTATTTAATAAAAGAAATTGGTTCGAACTTTTCACTCCTGGATTATTTTGTCTTTATAGTCCCTGTGGTCAAAACTTCGAAATAAACCGAAACGTTGAGATAAAGAATAAAAGTTCTGGAGTAAGAAATGTGAATTGCCAATCAGAACAACAGGGGTAACGAATTGGCAGTTCTGTAACAAATAAAGCGGCATCTAGCGGCATCTTAAAAACTAAATTAACAAAGAACTATATTATTCAGAGTTATAGAAAGGTATTTGAAGAATTGTATAGATAAATGTGTACAACTAGTGCTAAAATTCCAAATCAGTGTCAACAATAGCGATTTGAACAACTAAGAAACAAATCAGTTATGTCAACAATAGCGATTTGAACAACTAAGAAACAAATCAGTTATTGTTAACAATAGCGATTTGAACAACTAAAATTCCAAATCAGTGTCAACAATAGCGATTTGAACAACTAAAATTCCAAATTATTGTTAACAATAGCGATTTGAACAACTAAGAAACAAATCAGTGTCAACAATAGCGATTTGAACAACTAAAATTCCAAATTATTGTTAACAATAGCGATTTGAACAACTAAGAAACAAATCAGTTATTGTTAACAATAGCGATTTGAACAACTAAGAAACAAATCAGTGTCAAC